GGGGGAAGTGTTATCTTGACCAGCCAATTTTTAATAATCACAGATACTGTAAAGGGGATAAAAAGGGTTTTACCTCAGTTTTGAGCTGTGTTTAACCAGGGGAAGTGTTGCCTTGGTGGGCAGTTTTTAATAGTGACAGATATGGTTAAAAGGGTTTTAGCTCGGTGTTGAGCTGTGTTTAACCCAGGGAAGTGTTGCCGTAACAGCCAGTTTTAAATAGAGGCACAGATACAGTTAAAAGGGTTTTACCTCGGTATTGAGCTGTGTTTAACTAGGGACATGTTACCTTAACGGCCAGGTTTTAATGATGACACAGATATGGTTGAAAGGGTTTTACCTCGGTATTGAGTGTTTAACCAGGGGTAGTGTGGCCTTAACAGCCAATTTTTAATAATGACAGACATGGTTAAAAGTGTTGAACTGTGTTTAACCGGGGAAAGTGTTGTCTTGACCAGCCAATTTTTAATAATCACAGACACCTTTAAAAGGGTTTTACCTCGGTGTTGAGCTGTGTTTAACTGGGGAAGTGTTGCCTTAACAGCCAATTTTTAATAATGACAGACACGGTTAAAAGGGTTTTACCTTGGTTTTTGGGATCCCAGATGCACAACTTGATGGCAGAACACACACAAGTTTTACAGATTTCAGGAATTAGCATATCTATCTAGGATTCCCCAATCAAAAACTTCACAAATGCAGTAATGTCCCCTTCTTCTAATGAATCTCTTCCTTGGATGAGCCCAGAGCCCAGTGTACACAAGATGTTCTGGACAGAAGGCTTCACTCAAGGCTGGAGCTCAGGTTTAAGACAGCACAGGGCACACTGAGCCCTTCCTCAGGGTGTTTGGTCTCTGCCCAGCAGAACTCCTAAACTAAGGAATATCAGGCTGCAGGAATTCCAAACGTGGGCTGAGAGGTACAGGGGGATGCATAGAGGGTACAGAAAGGATAAAAAGTTGTGTCCCTGTCACAGGCCAAGTGTGTGTGGAAGCACCCGCCGGGGGACGAGATCTACCGCAAGGGCTCCATCTCTGTGTTCGAGGTGGATGGCAAAAAGAACAAGGTGAGTGAGGATGGGATTCACCTGCTGGGGTTCTGGAGGTGCTGAAATAACCCCAAAATAACCTGGTGGTATTTTGGTGTTATTTTGAAGTTACTTAGTTATTATTTTTGTGCTA